GTCCGTAAGATGAAAAGTACACCAGTTCTCTAGGAATTCCTTTTCTTGACTCTGAGATTTAAGAAAAATTTCTTCTATGGACCCTTGTGGACACTGGCCTCAAGCATTTCCTAGTAACAAAACATGCAGTCATAGATAGATAGCTTCATGGCAGGGGTCCTCACTGTAAGCCAAGGACACAGTGCCAGGCTCAATCCATTTTAAGAAATAGTGGAGGTTCGGAGGTAGTACTTACGGGCCGACTACATCAATCTGAGCTCTCCGGCACCACTGGCCTTCTACGCCCCTTCTGAGCTAGTCAAAAGCCCCTTGTGGCACATGCAAGGGAAGGCTCTGAGGCAATGGCCCTCTGTTTCAGGACACCCTGGAGAAGTGTGGCAAGTGTGGTGGGGTGGTCCAGGAACACATCATCAGGGCCCTGGGCCGGGCCTTCCACCCAGCCTGCTTCACGTGTGTGACCTGTGCCCGCTGCATCGGGGACGAGAGCTTTGCCCTGGACAACCAGAATGAGGTGTACTGCCTGGATGACTTCTATAGGTAGGAGAGGGTTCCGAGCACAGGGGGGACAGGGGGGGACGCAGGCAGAACGGAGGAGCTGAGCCTAAGTGCTGGGGGCTGGGTCAGAGCTTTCCTGCAGAAACTGGTCTGCCTGCTCCACACACCCTCACTCTGACCGTGCACCTGCTTGCAGCTAACTTTTTGAGCAGCTCCACTTGGGTTAGGCCATTTTATCCTCAAAACTGTCCTATCAAGGCAGGTGCTATTAAGGGATCTGTTTTACCAAATGTGGAAACTGAGGCATGCAGCAGTTAAGTACCCAAAGTCTCCCAGCTGGTAAGTATGGAAGCATCAATTTAAACCCCTGTCGACCTAAATTCAGGGCCTTGCTTTCAATCCCCAGACCACAGTGCCTCCCCTGGAGCTGTAGGAAGCAGTGGCTGCACAGATATCTCAGAAGCTCAGTGCCTGCCCTCCAGTTGCTCACTGCCCAAGGGGAGAGACAGATGTGCCCATTAAAAAGGCGAGAAGAGGAGGAAAAAGCGATGACCTATAATACAAGATAAATGAAATGGGCCCAGCCCCACTAAACTCACATGAGATGTCTCTGCTTTCTCAAACTCTAACATTACCCAGTCACTTCCTTGCCTCAAGCTAATTATACCCTGGGAAGCTGAGTGTAATTACACACACCTCTCCATCTACTCCAGGAAGAAATAGGCTTTTGTGGTTGTAGCTCCAGGTACAGTCACATAGCAACAGGTCTGAAATAGCTCTGGGAGGTGAACTAGAGCCAGCCTCCGTTCTGACAGCTAATTTCTGTGGTTGTCGGCGTGAACACCTCCCGAGCGTGGGTTCCTTCCCCTCTAGGAAATTTGCCCCTGTGTGCAGCATCTGTGAGAATCCCATCATCCCCCGAGATGGGAAGGATGCCTTCAAAATCGAGTGCATGGGAAGAAATTTCCATGAAAACTGCTACAGGTGTGAGGTGAGTAGAGCAGTGATGGTTTAATGACATGCTGCGGGTCATGTCCAAGAGCCCGCTGGTGCCAGGCCCTGGGCTGGGCCAAGGCGGGGTGAGGGCTCTGCTCTGAAGTTGCTTACTGTCCAATAGCAGAAACAAATAAGAATGGAAATGATTGTGAATAGTCTATTAATCAGGACTCTGAGTTAATGATAGAAACCAAATTCAACCTGCTTTCCACAAGAAAGGGAATCATGGGACGGCTCGCGTTGGTTATATCATTGATGGTATCAGATGATATCATCAGGGCTCTCTCTCCATTTCTCAGTTCTGCCCTTTTGGTGTTTGCTTCATTTTTCTCTTCCTGTGGGCTGGCGTCCTCCGTGAGGAGGGGGGTATAGCTTATGGCCATGTTCAGCCCAGGTTTACATGCTTTTAACTTAGAAACTACTCCAGGGATCCCATTCAGTCCCAAGAAGGCTTCTGATTGGCCCAGCTTGGATCACATGCCCATTCTGAACCAATCATTGGCCAGGGGCTACAATTAAAAACCACTGGGAAGGCACCACCATATGAAACAGGAGTTGATACAAGCGTGGGAAGGAGGAAGGGGAGGCTGGACAGACCCACACCACGTATGTCCTTTCTGGGTTCTGGGAAAGAGCACGTGTAAAGCAGCTTTGGGACTAAGAAGGCAGTGATCGAGTCTGACCAGGGTGCTGGAATCGAAGGCTCTCATAGAGGAGGCGAGGCTCAACCCCGGTCTCACAGGAAAGTAGAAGTTTGCCAGATAATCGGAGAGGGGAAAGGAAGTCCAGAAAGAGACAAAGGTCTGTAAAAACCTGCGTGCGCAGACCTGAAGAATCAGGACGTGGACGTTCCTAGGTGTGTCTGGAGTGTAGAAGGCAGGAAGGAGGGTGTGGTCAGAGAGAAGGAAAGGCCCCATGTGCCAGGCCAAGGAGTCTGGACCTTGGGCTGCAGGGAGGGGCGAGGCTGAGATGGGGAGGCTGGTCAGAAGCTGGTGCAGTAGTCCCAGCACGAAATGCCCAGGGAGTCACACAGGTCGCCTTACTCAGAAGGGTCCCATGCTTGTTTCAAAGCTCTGCTCTCACTGTCTGAAAATTCTTAATTGTTGAACAAAGAGCTCTACATTTTCATTTTGCCCTGGATCCTGCAAATTATATAGTCGGTCCTTCTGGGGAGGCTCCAGGAGTCCTCTCCTACCTCTTCTACTGTCACCTGCATGTCACTGATATTTCTGTCTTCTCTGGTGATGACAACAAAGGTAGTAACTTTATGAGTGTCACCTAAGTGGGGACTCACAGAGCAAATCTCTTAATCAGCCAGTGAGTAATTCTAAACATTTATTCAAAGAGACACATGGAACCAGAGGCTGTTTTCACCAATAGTGACAGGGCATCTTGGTGGAGAGGTTGACAGATTGCTTCGTCATTATGTTGTCTTTGTTGGTTAAGAGCTCAAGGTCCAGCTGATAACACATCTTGAAAGAACAATGAGGAAAATCAAATGCTGTTATCACCACCATAGCCCTCATGTCCAGTGACAATTAGCATTTTCCTGAGCCTGGCTAGTGAGCAAATGACCCCTCCCTGCCTGTCCTTGGTCAGCTTGGCCAAGGCTACCGTGAGCATAACCCAGGTTGCTGCAGGAAGTCGAGTTTGGACTCTAGCAGTTCCATTTTAGATGGTGAGGCTCAAACCACAGCAGCCTGGACCAATTCGGGGTGCCGTTTCTCTAGAAAGGAAAATGGGTTTCAAGGTGCCCTCCACACCCTTCTCGTCATTTCTGCTCTTTGCTGGAAGGGTAACAATGCTTTTATACCTGGGTAGTGTTTTTTAATTTACACAGTGCTTTCATGTGTATTGCCTTATTTAATCCTAATGGCGACCTTGCGAGGTGAGAGGTATCGTCCCCATTTAAGATGGAAACTGAGGCTGAGAAAAGTGCTTCCAACACTTGCTCGTCTGGGCTGGGGCCAGCCAGCCTCCTGCTGCCCTACAGCTTATTGCCAGACTGTGTGACTGGGTTGTGGTTGCTGTGTTTCTTCACTCGATTCAAATTTAGAAGAGGTCACATATGCCCCCTCAGGACTTCAGGTTTGGCACTTGATGCTTTTAGACGAGTGGCAGATAGGAATGGCACAGATCCTGGCGTTAAATGGCCCAAGTCCCCTTGAGACTGGAGGTGCTATGCAGAAAAAGGACACACGAGGGCGCCCTCAGCAGGCTGCTGGATCAGGATGGCGCCTGTGAGCCCAAGGCGGTCTCTATGGGGACCGGCCCCCCTGGACTGATTAACGCAGCTTCCAGAGGACACCAGCCATGCCCTGAACCAAGTCTCTGGGCAGTCATTGTCCCCATGATTACTGCCCAGCGTGTGCCCAGGTGAGGCCCAGACGAGGTGTGTGCTTGCAGTTAAGTTAGCAGTTTGGGCCCCAAAAGCCCATCCTCCTCATTCTGAAGTCCTCTGGTGAATTGAAAAACTGGAGTATTAAAGTTTGTGCCAGTGTCGAAGCTGTACCAGCGGTAGAACAACGGAAAGACCCCTGGACGCTAAGCCTGGAGACCTGGTCCTATCTCAGGTCTGGAACCAGCTATGTGACCTGGGGGAAGCCCCATCCCCCGCTGGACCTCAGTTTCCCCGTCTGTGAGATGAAGCTCTGCGCTAGACTGAGTTACTCACTTAGCAGAGATTCATCGCGTGCCAGTAGCACACCAGACTCCGGTCTTGGCGAGATCTAGCAGGAGATGGGGTTACTGCCTCGCAGAGCTCATGTTCTAAAGGGGCCGCTGGGTGGTTGGTAAGGCCCTTCCAGGTCTTTTCATGATTCCTCAGGGGACGTCTCGCAGTGTCCAGCTCTCCCTTGCGCTGACTCTGCTCTCGTCACCACACCATGTGTGAGTGAGAGGCCCGTGTGCCTTGCCTCGTCCTCCCGGGTGCGCTGGGAGAACAGGGGTGACGAGCCACCTTCCTCAGCTTTAGGGCGTGTGTTCGCCCGGGTCATTTCATCAGCACATGCGAGGTGAGCCCTGACGCCGGGCGGGCTCCGCGCTGCCGCACTCAGGCCGGGGGTCCGACCGCATGTCCCTTGTCTCTGCAGGACTGCAGGATCCTCCTGTCCGTGGAGCCCACGGACCAAGGCTGCTACCCCTTGGACAACCGTCTCTTCTGCAAGCCATGCCATGTGAAGCGGAGTGCCGCAGGGTGCTGCTGAGAGCCCCACCAGGCCCTGGGGCCCTGAGCCACCCACTGGCCCTGGTCAGGAGGGGGGGATCCTCCCTGCCTCGGTTTCCCTTCCTGACCTGCTCTTGCACACTTTCCTTCCTAGCCACGAGGACCAGCCCGTCATGTCTGTGACCCCAGCTCAGGAGTGGGTGGCAGGCAGAAGGTGCCTCTCAGAATTTTGCCTCCTCCTCTCCCCTGGGCGTAGGAAGTCTTCATGCGTGAGTGTCGCACCCTAGGTGTGCGCTCTGAGCTCTGAGCCTCTGGCCCCTCTTGAGCGCTGGCCTTGACCCCATTTCCAGGGGTGAGTCGGGGCGAGTCTCTGGGAGGCACCCTGTGTCCCTAGCAATGACACTTTCATTGTCCCGTATGAGGTGCTGAGATCAGCTCTGCCTTGCAGGACTGAGCTGTTTGAGTAAAACTCCAAGGTCCCTTAAAAAGCACTTTTAAAAAAAAAGTGAGGTTTAAATGATGGGGCACATTTTTTGTATTTTTGGGGGGGTCAGTCTTAATAGGTAATGTCTTCCATGCGTTCATAAATGTACAAGAAGGTGACCTGGTTTTGGCACAGCCATGGACTTCTCAGCTGGGTGACGTGGAGCCCGGGACCAGCTGTAAACCCAAGGAGCAGAGGCAGGAGGGGAGTGCGAGGTATGGGACAGGCAAGGCAGCCTCTCCACCCTGCCCCCTGGCGCTCCTCCTGCATGCAACAGTGAGTCAACAGACATTAAGTACCTGGTGTATGCTGGGAACAAGGTGCAGGAGCTCTGAGTGTTCTTCCTGCAGCCTTGACTGGGGCCGTGCCACACCCCCAAGCCACACGCACACGCGCCCCTCCAGGACAGTCCCTCGGTTATCCCCCTAAGTTCCCACTTGGGCCCTTCTGCCCAGGCAGCCCCGTGACCACTGCCTCCTCAAGGCCACACCTAGAGGAGACGTCTTTCCTTTTAAGGAAAATCACTTTCTTTGCTTTGTAACTTCTAGACATTTTCAGGGCATGGACCAATGTCCATGCAAGATGTGCTGTCCTCCCTGCAGCCGTCTCAGTGTCCCACCCACTCCTCTGAGCATGCCCGCCTCCACAGACTGGGGGTGCTTCTCCACGGAACCCCTCAGGGGCTGCAGACCAGAGTATGGCTTCCTGCCCAAAGCTTAGAGCAGCGAGTCCCCAAACCAGGCATTCACATACCATCTACACAATTTTTGTCCTAACCAAGGACCTCCTATTCTCGTATTTCCTTAACATTGTCTTTAAACCAACATACTTTTAAAGATTCACTTCCAGCTGTAGTCTTGTGCTAAGCAATATAGCTATGCGGTCACATGTTGATGTGCTAGTTATGTTTTTTCCTATCACACATGAAAATAAATGCATAACTATTAGAAGTCCATCTGTGTTCCATCTAAGATCTCGCCTAGGTAAACTCAGGCCCTTGGTAGAGCCCTCGAAACGTGCTCACTGGGCCTCTGTTCACAGTGGAACAAGTGCCCAGTGCCTGCACCTCCTTCCTCCCAAACTGGGGCTCAGCTCAGCAGATCAGGAAACTTATGGCCTTACAAAGATTTGCACCGGTCAACTCAGGCGTGCTGCTCCTGGACACAGGCCAGCAGCAAAGGAGTTGGCTGCAGGGTGTCCAGGGTGGAGCCTTTGCTGTAGGAGGCCCTCTGAGCCACCAGATTTTATAGCAGTGTCAATGTCTACCCTCAGGTTGTGCTCAGTGCGCGGGAGCAGGGCTTGCTCCAGAGAGCAGGGTGCATGGTAGGAAAGAGCACTGAACTTGGGCAAGCAACTCAGTTCCCAGACCTGGCGCTGCCATCCAATAGTGCAGACTAGTTTTTAATCCTTTGGGCCTTGATTTCCCCCTCTGCAAAACGAGAACACTATGAATATCTATCAGAGGGTCGCTGTGACGGAAAGAAACCTTGGGATGGTGGGTTTCTGCCTAGTTCCTGAGCCACCTGCTCCCTCTGCACTGGCCAGCACTTCTTAGCCATCACGCCTTCTGTCAGCATTCCTCAGTGGTCCTGTTGAAGCCCTTCAATCAGATCACTGCGGACATGCCCCCGGTCAGCAAAGTGGGGTTTATTGTGCTCGCTGCGGCCACACAGCATGGGGAACTTCGGAGCATCTCGGTAAGCCAGGGGTAGTTCTATAATTGAGAACTTTCATTTATTTATATCCAGGAGGTGGCGCTACAGCTGTGGTTGGCAGAGAAGCAGCGGTGGCTCCCAGGCTGGAGGGAGGGAGGTGCTGGTCATTTTTGCAGTTGGCCCAGAGGTATAGTACTCAGGTCATAACCACAGTGATCTGTGAGATTAGAGGTCACTAAGACCCAACTCTGAGAGCCAGGCAAGCTCCCAGCTGTCAGGGATCCCAAATTTGGTTTGATTTGCTTCTTCCTATCATTACATTATAATCTTGTGCTGTGATTCCTCATGTCCCGGCTGACTTCTGGTGGGTTATGTTTGGAGGGATGGTATCTGGATGAATTCTCGGGGGGTGCCTTTGTCTCCAGGCTGCACATTTACAAGTTGCTCCATGAGAGGAACACTTCTAGGGGGACTTCTGCAATGTGAAATAAGCCAGTCACAAAAGACAAATACCTTAGATGAGGTATTTAGAGTAGTTAAATTCATAGAGGCAGAAAGTAGAAGGGTGGTCGGTTAGGGGCTGGGAGAGGGGAATGGGGAGTTGTTTAACGAGATCAGAGTTTCAAGATGAAAAGAGTTTGGAGATGAATAGGGAGATGGTTGTACAACAATGCGAATGTACTTAAATGCCACCGAACTGTACCCTTAAAAAATGGTTAGGATGGTACTTCGTTTGTATATTTTACCACACTTGAATATATACATAAATATATATTTAATGCTCGTAGACAGAGGGAGGATGCGAGGGGGCATACGTCCCCTGGATTGGGGACCTAGGAAGGCTGGCTGTAGCTGTGTACAAACCCAGAGGCTGCTGGCTGACCTGGGCTTCCTGAACGCAGATGCTGCACATAGCCACTAGAGGGCAGCATGGGCCACCGAACAGGGAACGGGGCCCTGAGGCACCAATGTTCTCACGCCTCTCTCAGGTCCTCAGCTTCTCCAGATGCAGGATGGGAATACTTCCCGCCGGCCCACTGCGCGTGGTTGCCGTGAGAAAGAGAGAAGAAAATGAATTGGAAAACTAGAGAGTGAGCGATGTGGCTGTGGAATTGCTGCATTAGAAGACACCTTGGAGGGAGGCCAGTGTGTCAGGAGACTGAATTCCTCATCAGCCCAAACTTCTACCTGCTGAGAGGGTCTCACCTGGGAGCTCCCACACTGCCACTCCTGCAAGCTGGTACCTGGGAACCTGGGCTCAATAAGCACATAACAAACAGGGCCACTGGGTTGCCAGAGCCTTTATGCTTGTCACACCCTCCCTGGGGGCCCCCCCTCGCCCGAGGCCACACCTAGGTACTTGGACATGTTTGGAGGTGTGAACACCACCAAGCATGTGCCAGCCCCTCCAGGCAGCCAGATCCTGCCCCCTCCCACTGCTCCGGACACAAGTGGTGGCAATGAGGACTTAATGGAGAGCAGAAGGGAACAGGGCCGGGCGGGTAGAGAGTAGAGAAGGCTGGGCTGATAAAGAAGAATACCAGTGACCACAGGACATTTTAAAAGAAATGGCTTTATCAGTTTAAAGGGCACTTCTCATAAGGTGAATAGCTACTCATAAAAGAATAATAACCTATGAAGTAGGTGTTATTAACATCCCAGTTCAGAGACGAGGAAGCTGCACATCAGGTGATGGCATAATTGCCCAGGGCAGTCAGGGTCAAACCAGGCCCAGTGAAAACTACAGGCCACTGCTACAGACCCGTGTCACAAGCACCCATATTCTAGTGTGTTCCAGATGCCAAATCCAACTGAAAAAAACCTTGCTGATTTTAGGCTTCAGGCCTCTTGCTCACCATGAGACGTAATTTGCCCAATTACTTCAGAAAGGATTTGCATTCCTACTATATGAGGCCTACTAACCCATGAATGATCATCAGGTTAGAGACCATGGCGTGCACCCTATTCATGACCTTCCTTCTGCAGAAAAAAAATGTGCATTTCAGTGGAAAGCTACAGAGTGCTGGCTTTCATTGTCTTTGAGCTCTTTTCCAACTCAGTCAGTTGTAGGTCACTGATAAATTCTGTCCTGTCTGGTAGGTGGTCCCCTCACCTCCTTATGCAAAAACCAGTTTTGCCTCCAATTGCACATTCGTTTCAATATTCCTCATCTATAAATGTGAATGTTCTTCTGTTGCCCTTTTGAGCCGGTCAGTTGTAACATCTGCCTGGTTCTCCTAGGAGTTAATAAAATGTTCAACACATGTCGATGTTACATCTGCATGGAAGTCACAATTTCATCTTCTTTTTTTTTTTTTTTTAATTTAAACAATTTCTTCGCTGGGTGTTGTGTAAGGACTGCTCCTTTAGACCAGGAGAGGTGGTGGCTAGCAGCGTTAAGAAACAGCTGACAGATGGCAGCTGCCTCCAGAGAGCGGAGTACGGGCAGGCATGGGCTCTGCTCAGGTGGATGGGACAAGGTCTCGGCAAGAACTAGACTTCCCTGGTTGAAATCCTAATCAGCTACTTGACCTTGAGACAACCTCTTTAGGCCTGAGGGTGAGGAGGGGCAGCGGAAACTGACTTTTATTTCCTGAGTTCTTATTTGGGGTGAGGCTGAATATGTCAGATGATTGATTATTCCTGACAGGAAGTGGGGATTTCAGCAGAGTCAGGTAGCCTGCCCTGAACGGAACCAGGCCTGCCTGACTGTGAATCCTAGGCTGTGACCTGCCTGCCCCTCAGGGGACCAGAGGATGGCCGCACTAACAGCTGCTGGGGGGCTGGCCCTGGGCTGCTCCATGTTTGTTCCATGGTGTCCTCCCAACACTCTGTGTGGGAGGCTCTGACCATCCTCATCTTACAGGTAAGGAAACTGAGGCTCAGGGACATGCTATGACTTGCCCAAGGACACGCAACTAGAGGCCACCGCGGGGCTGCACCTTAGGATTTCTAACTCTCGGTCTTAAGGGCCTGGTCAAAGCAAGGTCTGTTGGGCCTGTTTTCCCCCCAGTAAAGGTGCCCAGAGGGTGAGTGGGGGGTGGGGCTCTTCTAAACATAATCCCTAAAGAACTTGGAGTGGGAGAGCTCTAGGCTCCTTAGTGATGATGACACTGCTGGTAAATAACAACAGGGGCCATTTGTGGTCAGGTAGACACCCATGGGCATGACCTTATTTAGTCCTGCTCCTGCCCTAAAGTAAATACTTATGATCCATCCTTCAGACAAGGAGATTAGGGCTCAAGGTCACACCACTGTGATTCCGGCCCCAGATGCCAGAATCACAATTCCTAATTCCTTTCTTCCGCTGCCTTCACATCCTAGTTATGTGATTCACCTCTCCAAATCTTTTTCCTTCATCTTTGAAATGGAGATAATTATCATGATCATCACATTTAAAGGGGTAGAACAGCATCTGACTAAACGAAATGTTGGTTTCCTCACTGACAAATGTAAGACGTTAACAAAAGGGAACCTGCTGAAGGGTATTAGGAAACTTTGATCTTTTGCAATGTAATCTAAAATTATTCCAAAATTAAGAGTTTACTATTATAAAAAGTAATGGGATAAAGAAAAAAGTCTGAGCTCCAGGAGGCACTGCCTATCATTGATGCAAGGACACAGGACAAGAGGAGGCCATCAGATCCTTTCCTACGAATGGGGACATGTTGGGCTGGGAGAGAAAATGTCTGGAAAAGGGCAAGGGGTCCACTGACAGGGGAGAGGGGCACGCCACCCACTTTCTGTGGATCCCTCATTGTCCCCAGGAGTAGAGCGAGTCCCTGGTGGCCCCGGAAGTCCATGGCCAGGCAGCCAGTATAAACAAGAGCATTGGGGCTGCTGTTCCCTAACCCTGGTGAACTGCTGAGCCTGGGAATGCTGGGGTGGGGCTCCCCTCCACCCCAGCAACCAGGAGGTAGATGCCAAATGGGAAGTGGGTGGCGAGGGGTCTCAGAAAATCAAAATGACCGTTAGCCAGCGTGGGTGGCAACTTTTTTTCCTCTCCATAACCAGAGAAAGGATTTCTCAGGAAAACATTAATACGGCCCAGGAATCTTTAGCTGCTCCTTTAAAGCCAGTGGGATCTCCTAAATTTGGAGCTCATAGGGAGAGACTGACCCAGCGGGAGAGAAACCAGAAACCGGAGAGGTATTAGCCTAAAGGCCTAATCAGAAGGCAGATCTGAAAAGGCCAGGGAGGGTTAAGAAAGCTCTGTTTGGGGCCTATGAGTCATGGGCCAGGCAGCTCGGGGCTGTGGCAGGGCCAGAGCGCAGCTGGAACCTCTCTTGAAAATCTAC